AAAAAATATTTTCCCCATGTTTATCATCGAATCGGAGGATTCCATATACATGTACATGTATGCATTTACGTTTGCTTTCGCAGTACATTCGATCATATGACGATAAATTTTGTTGGGGGAATGATATCTGACGAAACTATTTTCATAATGAAGTTAATGAAGTAAATGTGACTATTGACTAAATTAGGATTTCTACTACAGAGAAAAGGCAATACAGATACCGAAAACTACAAAACGCTTTTAATAAAGTTCTTCCTCCTGAACGATGTGAAAAAAACTAAATTTTTTATTGTGATAGATTAATTATTATATGTGTAATATAAAAGAATTTACACCAATAAAATTTTAAATTTTATTATAAGGTAAAAGGGGATATTGTGACGAAGTTAACAATTTTTATTAGTAAAATTTATGAAAATGCTTGCTTCTTTAATTTTTTTATTTATACAGGATCTAAAAGCCGAAAATAAAACAATTACAACTAAAAGATTAATCCGCGAAAAAATTAATGATGAAAATCAAAGAAACTTATAATACTAAAATTACCGTAGTGTATAGTTTTATTGAAAGCTCTTATAAGCCTAAAATTTTTAATTTAATGTGGATATTGTAGCAATCAAAAATAAAAAAATCATAATACCAATCAATCCTTTACCTATTCGATATCTCATCATGTAGCACGAAAACACCTTTATTCGATCATTTAAACATTACAAATCAAATGAGATATTTTCATGAGAGATTGCGCCTAAAAGCCAAATTCACTCATAAAATTTTGCGATATTTCGTTACCCAGTGATCGAAATCGCACAAAAATACTAGCATTCGATTCGTTTAGTTATGAATAATAAATGATCTTTACACAATACCCTTTACCTTATACATTTATTTCATTATAAGAAATTATGATAATTTTTGTCAAAAACATTTCTTATGTAAGGTAATACCAAACCTGACTATTTTGCTCTAATTACTTATTTAACTTGATAACAAATAATTAAATAATTATACAAAGTAATATAAATCTATATATATATATTCTTTAATATTTTGAGAACAAGTTTATTTAAGACCATAAAATAATTCTTATTCAAAAAATTAGCTTGTTAAAACAGTTATAAAAATTTTTAAAAAAATTAATTAGAATCATTCAATAAGTTATTATACAATAAATTTTAAGTAAATTTGTTTATTATATTGCAAAGAAGATATCATCAAGTTTTTAATAAAATCGAATACTTGTTATTACATAATAAAATAAAATAAAATATAACTTAATTTACAAATATTTATATTATTTGAATAATTTTTTAATTGCCATTTTTTTTGCACACCAGTGTATGTAGTAATTTGGTTAAATAAATCACGGATTTATCAATCGTCATGGGTTTCATCAATCGTGAATTCGTCAAAGCAAAACTCTGACGAAAGGTTTTTATTGAATTGTAAATTTGATTTTTGTGAAATTATTAAAGAATTTCATAATTTAAAAAGTTTTTCAATGGTATTCGAAATTTCAGTCAGATAGTGTTCTCGTGAGAACAATAATATGATTAAAAATATTTTCAATAAATAACCAGTGTTCAATTGGTCAACATTATTAGAGGACAGTTCAAGTACTTAAATTTTTTGAATTTCCTCGTGAGCAAATTGTGATTCAATTATTTTTTATTAAGGCAAAGCTAAAATGTGAACAAGAAAGCATAGACAGTCCTTTATTGAGAAATTTGTATTTATTTATCTTCCCATTTTCAACTATTAGTGAATGTACAACATAATATCTTAATGATCTTTTTATATAGTAAGACATGGCGCATAAGTTGAAAAAAATAAGATAATTATTCTTAATACACGAATTTACTTTAACATTCAAAACACATGATCACTGTAAACCACCTTGAAAATTCATGCATATTTTACAGTGACTGTGATTGATATTATCCAGCGTAGAGAAATCTTAACTTTTCTTTAACATATAACTATCTAACCAAATGTTCAAAAAATCTTGAGCAAAATTATTAGTAGCATATTTTATATTTAGTATAGTTTGGACAAATATTTGATAACTTTTGGACTGAGTTGAAAATATTTGCTTGATTGTAATTAACCATAAATTTATTTAAAATTTTTTTGCTTTTTCTATTTTCGCTTGAAATTTAATATAGACCGATATGTCTATATAAAAATAGGTACGCTGATTACAAAGATCATGAACTTGCGTTCAATTTATAACAAACAAGTGAATCATGCATTTCCACTGGTGAAAAATTAATTCATAATTTCAAGTTCATTGCATTTTCATCTTGATTTCATATGATCACAGTCACACTTCTCTAAATGTATATACATCTGGGAACAGCCTATACTATACTTTTAGAAAAAAGTCCAAGCTGATAAGAATATGAATTTAGAGAAGTACTAATTAAAGCAAAACTCTTCATAAATTGACTTTGTTAATGATTTTCTTGAATATTTATATATATGCAAAAGAACCGATTAATATTTATTTATAATAACTTAAATTTTAGCCCAATATATTATTTAGTGTTCATTTTATAGACATGCCTATGTTGAAACGACTACTTTATTATTTTTCATTGAATCATTCTAGAGTCTGTAACCGGTTATACATGTATTTTTAATATTAAAATACGAATATAAGCCGGATTGTATTCGAATTTTGACATTACAAAATACAGTAGCTCACTTATGCAACGGAATGAAAAGATTTACAATAAAATCCTACTTCCAAATATCGATTAATACACCTGGTTTCTATACTCATTTTTAAAGCTAATAACTAGAGAATATTTAAAATGTTAAATATTTTTGTCTATATTTAGGAATGTTAAGTGATTCATACGAATATTTTTAATTAATGAAATTTTAACTTCGAACAGTTTTGTGATTGACCCAATAAAAAAAGAGCATCTTAAATACATAACAATTTTCAGTTATTTATCTCTGTATTAACATTAATTTGGTACTTTTGATCCAATAACTCAACGAATTTTTGTTACCAATTTAATTGAAAATTGTAATGTTGATAGTTCCCCTCAAAGAAGTACGTTTTTATTAGGGCATCCTTTTCAATCCTTCCTGATAACAAAACTGTTCGAAGCTCAAATTTCACTAATTAAAAATATTTGTATAGATTACTTAATTGGAATGACATATTCTACTAGTTATTAGCTTTAAAATGAGTATCGAAACCAGGTGTATTAATCGATATTGGAAATGCTAGGATTTTTTTGTAAAATTTCATGTCCATTTTCATAAGTGACATGTGTAACCGGTTCCAAACTCTAACCATTTAAAGCCATGTACTGTACACACAAGAAAAATAAAAGAATCTACATCTGCTTTCGCACAAAGAACATTTATATATATATATTAAATATATCCATACACATCCTGTGATAGCGATAGTCAATGTACATGTACATTGGATTGGCGTCGTCGTCCATTTGGCGCTAATATTCTTGATCTTAATAGAGAATTTTAATATTTATTTTGTAGGTGAGAATACTTGTTGAGAGAAAATAATTATTTGATAAAAAATTGTATCATTTGATTTTAGAAAATTACTAAAGAAACAATTAACGGGAATTTAATTACAATGCGCTCAACGTAAATATTGATATCTTTTGAAAAATGTCGATTAAGTATCCGAAAAAGTGAGACATTATAAAAAATTTTATATTTTATCAAATTTAGACATCATAGATGCAAGATCTGTTGACCTTTCCTTGAAACCTTTCTAAAACTTGGAAGCAAAACAGTCATTTATGCAACATTTTATACATTATGTATGTGCTTCTGATACATATTGACAATCATAACGATAATGCTTAGATGTTTAGCATATCGATTTGTAAATGACAACATATTTTTTAAGGTGATGAAAATCAAGTTCCTGTGACTGTCAAAATCTACAATCATCACATGTCTCAAACAAATATAATAATATTAATATAAAAAGAAAATTATTATTTTGCCTCATGATATAAAAACTTGATCGAGTGAAAAATAGAAATATGAGGTTAGACAGCTTCAATTAAATTTTCGAGACTTTGAAATTCAACTCGCAATAATTATATATTATTATGAATCTAATTCAGAATGGAGTCGTTATAATCTCATTGAGTTGATTTTTTTGGTAAATTTTATGATAGATCCAAAAACACTTTAATAAAGTTTCCTTTGTACAGTCGCAACTGGAGTATAACAAATCTTTTTATAACAATCACAGCTTATAATGAACATTAAATTCATGAATTATTATAGGTTCGTTATAATACAAAGTAAATGTGGAAATTCGATGCTTAGAATCAGTAGACGTGATGGTGGTCCTACATGTGCATATTTGTGTACGTATTTGTGTATCGATACGGTGTACATGTATATTGGTTTATTTGAAAACTAGCTATTTGTAATTTCAGAAATTATTCTACGAAAATAGTAATTTTTATACACAGATAACTTTTAAAGGGTACTACTGGAAAATAAAAAGAAATCTATGAATGAAAGGGTAAGTAATGAAAAAGTTATAAGGGCGTACTTTTAAAAATTTATATTACGGTAAATATTTTCAATTTGAAAAAGAAAGCAATGAATGAGAGTACATAAATAAAATATATTCGCACGCCCTATTTAACTTTGATAATAAATATAATTTCTAATACTAACATTAATCTCTATAAAATAGTTAAAACCGCACCTCGATATAGTCACAGGATTGGGAAACAAAATTGGGTGTGACTAAAGTGATAGTGAAATTTCTTATAATTTGTAACAATTAGTAAATAAAAACGTGTATTTATTTCTAAATCATGACTATATCGAGATACAACAATATAGGTCAGTTTGGATAAAGTTAGACAGAACAGGAAACACACAAATTTTACCGCGTTTTTATTCTAATTAAATTTGTTTAACGTCTAATTTTGCATATGTATATTTTATTATTGATCTAGCTTTGAAGTTAAACAAGAGTTTAAATGGGATGGGACAATCCGAAAAGCTTTGGAAATTCAAAATCTACAGCGATAACACATTTTGAATCGAAATACAAGATTCCGAGTACATGTACTATATGATTTCTTATCAGTATCACAATCAATCAATATTCTGTGGATACAAGTAATAAGCATACCGTTCCAATTATGAAGAATATAAAACCAAGCTTTCTCACAAAGAATAAATTTTTCTTGTTTTTAACAAAGTTTGCAAACGTTTTTTTAACTCATTTCAAATTATCGTAACGCTCAAGTTGAAAGAATGAATCAACAGAACAACCAACAGAATAACCAACAAAATAACCAACAGAATAACCAACAGAATCAACAAAATCCACAGCAACCTTCAGCTGTTTATTTGAACATGACGCAAAGCATCATTATTGGAACTGTTGGAACTGATATCTTTAATAGTCAGTCTCCTACATCGAATGTAAATGATAATAATGCTTTAGGTGTGCTGATGGACGCATATCATTGAATGCGCTTCAAAATTTTCTTAAGATAACTATCTTTCTCTTTCCCCTAAGCTATATATATATAAGTTTTATCTCATATGCATATACTTTTCAAGCTCGATATATATACATATAAACAGTCAAACCTCGTTAATATGACACCAGTTGATATGACAACTCGTTTATATTACCAAATCAAACAATACATTCTATATAGAGCTATATACAAAATTGTTCGTTATTATGACATATTAGTTATGACAGTTTCTTTACTGTGTACCACGATGTCATATTAACGACGGTTGAATAGAATGTGAGAAATTTAACTTTTACAAAAACTAGCAATACTAGTATTGAATCCTTTTTTTTAGCTCGTCGAAATGTATATTTGATTGATAAGCCAAATAATCTTTAACTTTAGTTAAGCTCCTGTTTAAACTAAGTATCATTGTGTCTAAGTTATCTTTAATTAATAATCACCACCATTAATGTTATTTATTATTACAATTCCTCTTAGCAATCATAATTATATCAGAAAGGCATTTTATCAACAAGGGTCTTAAATAAGAATAAAACGAACTAATTTTTAGTATTTAAACTTCTAGTACTCTACAACGAATATAGAGAAAGTTGAATGAACTCGTAAAGTGATAAACAAAAAAGACATTTATCATAAAATTCTTTATAAAAGAATAAAAGGAAACGCACATTTTTTCATAGTCACCCTTTTTAAGTAACTATAATTCAAAAACCTCTATATAGTCTATAATCACCCAATTTTGCTTTTCCAAGTGCAATGAATATAGAGAGTTTGACTTGATTAATGGGTGCCGCCCAACATCTCGACACTCAACTTCCCGAAATTCCAACCTCCCGACAACCCAATCTCCCGACCACCCAACTTCCCGACAATTTAACTTCCCGAAATCCAACATCCTGACAATCCAGCATCTCGACAACCCAACTTCCCGACAAAAGCCAACTTCCCGACAAACTAGTCCATTATAGGGATCGACAATTAGCATTTATTAACATTTAAACATCAACGCGATAAATAACCTTGGTAATTGCGTAACTTTATTTTTAATTCGTTAATGACTAACTGATTTAAAATAAAAGGGAATTAAACGTAAATTTTAATTAAAAAAACACAACGATCGGTGTGTTACAAGATAGATAACGGATCTTCATGGAAGTTGGGTTGTTGGGATGTTGGATTTCGGGATGTTGGGTAGACCCGACTTTAATATTTGAACTTATGGAATTCTATAACGAATATAGAAAATGTTGAATGAACTTGTAAAATGATAAAGTTTTCTTATTGGACTAAATTTTTAATTTATATTCCTTAATCTAATATTTTCGCACTGCGTAATGATTGTTCGGATAAAGGAGAGAACGAATTGGCTTAATTGCGTATTGCCAATATTTTTATTCAGACAACCTCTAAAAGTACGTACAGTGTGATATGTCTCCGTAAACTATAATATAAATTCGAATTCAGTGCATTATCGTTATACGCATCAAGTTAGATCGTTAGAGTTCCCGTTGGCGATCACAAATGAACAATTTATAATATTTCAAGTTTAGCCTAGAACTCATTGTGCTCATATTGATATGTATGAGTACTAATATATATATCAAATATAAAAATTTATTAAATTTTTATGTTAAAAAATCCGACTTATGACTTATGATACAGTAACACCAACATAAATGCATATTCTTGGGACTGGCCATGCAAGTGCACTTAGGAAAGATGTGCTCATTAGAATGCGTTTTATATAAGCATGAATCGTTAGTAACGATATCGTTATACATGTACAATTACATACGTATGTGTAACGGTAGTGATTCATGCTCTATGTACTGTATTGCGCGTTTATACATATATGAAAAGATATAAATTTGATGCTTGGTATTTATATTGTATCAGCATATACATGTATATAGGAAATAACGGCCAGAGGAATTATTTTTCATAAATCTTTTAGTACGTATTAATTACTATATGGATCATATTTGCTTGAATAGTTCTCTGATTCTATTAGAATTAATTATAATACCAATTTAAAATAAAATCATTTATTAATATTATACTCTTTATAATTCATTTTTATAGGAATAATTTTCTAACAATAATAAAATAGGATTTATTGACGCGGCTGGAAAAAAACAATGCAAATGGTTTCGATTTGATGTTCAAAATCAAATGTCGAACTTAGTTTCTGCCAATAAAATAAGAATAAAAACTCGGTATGAATTGTTTATATTGAAGCTACTCTACTACTTGTATGGAAAACAAGATTTGAAAATAATCAAGAAAAAATAATAATTCACAAGTAAAGGTTAGTTTACAAGGCTATTTTTATCATTTTATTTATTAGAGAGGATTTTTTTGACAGTACTTAACTTTTCCATTTATAAAAGTTCAGGAATATTCCAATCTATTTGAACTTTGTTAAACAGGTCTTATGTTAAACGAAAAGTTAAAATTAAAATAAATGTTAAATAAATAATAACGGCGAAGATTGTTAGACGAAACTATAGCTAGTATCATAAATTATGCGGAAATTGTATCTCAGCATAACTGTGGTAACAATAGTTTCTCTTTACATGTAATACAGATGAGCTTAGATGCATAGTTTATAAATCCATGTATAAAATGTTCTATTTACATGTACATTTATGTTTGGATCACAGATTTCTATATTTGTGCTTATAAGATTTATAGAGATTGGGAATTTTCTTGATCACAATGCATACGTACTTGTATCAAGAAAAATTAAGATAACGATATGTTTTATGCATACTAACACGTGCAGTATAATAGTTTTATTTATATGATTATACACTTGAATAAATAAAATTTTTTAAAGAAAGACGGTTTCATTCTTCAAATTTTTAATTTATATGATCATGCACTTGGATAAAATAAAAGTTTTTTTTAAAGAAAGACGGTTTCATTCTTTAAATCCTTTAAATTTATATAGTTATATACATTAATGAATAAAATTATTTAAGAGAAAGACGGTTTCATTTCTTTAATTTATATGATAAATAAATGATGATACCGTAAAGCGTTCTTTAAATTAGAAATATGCTTTTACTATTTTATCAATATCAATATGTTATAATAAAACCATAAATTTAATTTCGCAGGGATATATTTATTATATTATTCATAAGTTTTATTTATTCGATTTGTTCCTTTGTTTAGATTATGAGTTAGTTGTCTCTAGGGTACAATGTTATCGACCAATCAAATCCCGAATTTTTATTCGGCGAAGCAGAAAAATACATTATATGAATTGTAGCGCAATATAAATAAAGGGGTTCATGTATTTGATAGTACATGAATCATTGCAAGAAGCTAGGGGTTATTTTACACAGGGGTACTTTAAAAATTACGTAGATGTACATGTTTATCAAAATTTGATATTATTTGCCATGTGACTTATGTACACTCACCGGACAAACGTTTGGAATCGGAATGATCAGCAATGTAAATCACGAATTTTGATATTAATATTTCTCACTTCCCTTTAAATAAATTACGATAAAAAATATATCATTTATTCAGCAAAAGTAGGGCTATTCACATACCTATATTTAATATCGGATTGGATATCATTTGTATCAATTACAGCTTGCACTCTCCTCGGCATACTTTCAACCAAATTTCTTAAATTTCTGGTTTAATCGTTTCCCATTCCTCCGCAAGTACACTCCCCTGACACGGGTCATGGGACTTTTTTCCGAATATAGTAATGCTCGATTTTTTTATAAAATTTCAAGTT